GGAGTAAAAGGGCTGGATGTTGGACGTCCTGCTGCTGATCAGGACTGCTAAAACTTCTCTCCAATGAGCCAGTAGAAATTTTAGGGATGCTCCAGAATCAGCTTTAATAACAATAAACAACAACAAAATGTCTATACACAGAAACTCAGACTGCAACAGGGATACAAATAGTGCAAAGAGAGCTGGAATGCATACTGTATTGTAATGTAACTTTATATACACATACATACATACAGTAGGTAGTTTGTGTACAGTATCTTCATGTATACACACCTACTAATGTGAATGCTTTGTAAATTCCAGTATTTTAAACTACATTCTCTGAGGTATAAGACAGCCTACAGCATGTTCTGCTCATTTGTGCATATCTAGGATATCCAGAGCCCCTTTACGCATTCCATAAACTGCCATTTTCATAAAAAACATGGCTCAAGATATCCAAAAAGAAATCTGCTGTTGGAATATAAACAATCATCCTGAGTGTTGATTTTTACAAACATTTTCCAGCTTTATATTTGTGCTGATAAACTAAGAAAAACTGTTTTAATTTCTCAATTCATTTTATGTTACCTAAATGTTGTAATAATTTCTATGATTCACAGGCACACAAGACGTGACATAAAAATCACAGGTTTGAAATTCTTTCTGTGCATCACATCAGAAGCTGAAAGGATGTTTATTTGAGACCTAAGAATATCACACATCTAGTCATAACTGTGTCTGCTGCACTCTGTTCAATAAAGCGGGCAAAAAATAGTAACGGCAATAAAAATATAATAAAAAAGCCTAAATGCACACACCCACAGAGCGAACCTATTTGTGAATTTTATTGCACCCAGTCATGATTCTCTAAGCTCTCAATGTGATTTTTCTTTTTCCTGTTATGAAGCGCCTCAGGGGCTTGCTCTAAGGCAAGAGAGTCCCGAAACATATTTGTCGCTTCCAGCCATCTAACTCACTGATGCTGGCATGCTGACAGGCAGCAAAGGAAGCCACCTTTCTCTGCTGTTCACCGCCACCACCTTAATCAGCTCTGACATATCTGACCATCATTTCCATCAATCCCTTGCAATGCTCACCCCCTCCTTTCATTTGCTACCCTTTCTCCAAATATCCCCACTGCTCCCCACCTCAGACAGGGTAAATAAACGCCATCCCAATCATATCCACCTAAATCCTACATTTAATTCATAAATTACAGGCATGAAATATTCACACAATGATGAGGATGAAGGGAGACCGGTCCACAAGAGGCGTCAGGTCAGGAATGAGTGGATGAATGTGAGGATGAGTGTTCAAAAAAAGAGAGAACGAAAATTTTTATGTAAATGACTATTGAGAAAAAAGGGCAATGGAGAGGACAGAAAGTGGGTGTAAGTGAGAATAAGAGCAGCTGACGAGGCCAATCTAACCCTGCTGTATAATTCATATTGAAAGACCCCCTGCTGCTGTCACAGTGGTGAACAGCACAACACACCGCCAGGAAAGACCTGGCAGTGAGGTGAGAGGATGTCAGAAGAAGGATGAGGTAAGAGAAGAAAGAGAACAGGCAAAAGGGAAGTTGCGACAGAGCGAGAGAAAGTGTAAAAGCATGGACAAAAAGGTGGAGAGCAGAACGGTAATCCCTATGATTCACGTCTGCTGCTACCCGGGGAGCACAGGGGGTTGGGTGGCATCAATCAGACACATTTGGAGGTAAGAGGAAGAGAAAAAAGAGGGGGATTCGGGGAGGTGTGTGTGGGGGAAAATATGGAGATGTCAGCACTCTTTAAGTCAGAGGACAGCACTTTCCTTCCATCAGGCTGCCAGTCTGTCAAGTCCTCGGGGACAGAGCAGAGCCTGTGCCAGCCAGTCAACCGGCCCACGATGAAGGCCATATATATTACATGCCCTGCCCACACAACACTTGCTCAAAACCGAGGTCGCAGGGCTTAGAGTCAGCATTAAAAAAAGTCAGACACTTTGCTGCAGGCGGTGTAAAAGGAAATGACCTGAGACGTCAGAACAACCACCAGCCAGGAAGTAAAACAATGCTTTTCAGTAAGCGATGCAAAAACACAGATGGCCCACACCCATCAATGTGAAAATACAGTATCAGGGTGCAATGCCCAGTAAATCCAGTCCACCTTATAAGATGCAGAGGAGCTTTAAAGACTCAACAATGGCAAAGTGCTGATTCAAACATTGAAGCTGAAATAACTTTGTTCAGCAGGGCGCTGCTGAGTGCTCTGATCCACGCTGACAATTGAAGCCAACAGTTGGACTCTTAAGCACGGATTAAACACTGAAGAAAAGTCATCACAAAGACACGGACATATCACCTTGCTGAAGTGAAGGTAGTCTGTTCGGCTGATTTGATTACTCAGTCTACAGCGGAGAGGAGCGGAATGGAGAGGAGGGTGTGTGTGTGTGTGTGTGTGTGTGTGTGTGTGTGTGTGTTGGGGGGGTGTTTTTAAGCTTCACAGACTGCTCCACCTTCCTGCTTGTTTTGTGTTCATGTGAGAAGGAGGTGGGTCTTTATAGGGCAGCAAATGGGATGTTTATGACCCTATGTGCTATGTTGCCACATTACATACAGCCAAATTGAATCACGCTTAGAGTGACATTGCTATCATTTCAGGGGCAATACACTGAAGTACCACAAAATGCACAGGTGATTTCTTGCTCTATGCTCCAGTGTGGGAAAGCCATTTTAGCACTGAACCTTACTACAGCATGACATTTAAATAGTGGCTATCAGTACAATGCAGCAAAGACACTTTTACTTCCCCACTCAGCTGCTTTCCAACGAGGCCTGAAAAATGTAAAGCAACCATGTGGGTGAGCAATAGAGAATAAATCATTTAAGATATCAAACCTAATAACAGAGATTGGCAGTAAGACAGTGAGATAGCTGAGTGGAGAACCTTATTCACTAATGTTTCACTCCATGTAATACTGTATATCCTCACAGGGGTATTAGGAGTGCTTTGTGGATAAACCCTCGAAGGTTTTCTCTTTCCTTTCCATCTCTCCTCTCATTACAGGTCGTTACAAGATGACACTGACAACTTCCTGCCGATCAGCGTTACCATAGCGCGCTGTGTATTTATCAGAAGTGGTAAACTGATCTGGTCAATAAAGTAAAGTAGCCACAGAGTACCTACCTGTCTACCTGCCTACCAACCTGTGCGCGTTCTGCTCCTGCAGTTATTGCACATGAAAATGCATTTGGAGGAGTGACTTTGGAGGGAGACCTGAAGAGAGGGGGTGGGACTTCAGTAACCTGCCCTAGCTATAACTGGAAATATACTACATGTCTCCTTTTTGTCTCATTTCTCAATCCATTTCCCCAAACTCCAAAAATCATATTTGGTGTATTTGGAAACTTTATGAGTTTAGAATAAAGTTCTGTTGTTTGAACAATGTTGCAGTGCACAGCATACATTTATAATGAAAGGACCACCAGAGGCTTGTTATGGGGTATTATAGTAAGACACCTACAATTCAGCAAACAGCCTTTATCAGGCCAAAGGCAAAAATAAAAGACAGAATTAATACAAGACAGAATAAAAAGGCAAAAATAAAAGACAGAATTAATACAGACAAAGTCTGTATTTTGCAGTATTGTTTTCATAAAAGTCATGACGAGAACAAAGCGTGCCGCTACTTAACCTTATTGAAATGTAGCCGTCAGCAGCACAGTATACTTCTGTTAATTTTCATTTAAGCTGAGAGAGTTGACCAGTTCCCCACTTGTGGTATCCCTTACATTTTAATTTGAAATCTCAAACTGGGTCTAAGAACAGCACTGGACCTCTGCCCTCTGCTCAGTGACCTCCATCAGATTCCAGATACCAAAAACTCACATTACTCATTACTGTTAACAAGGCATTGGTTAATTATTCAGCAGTTGTCATTGTAACGTGATAGATACGGCTGGAAGAAGCCAGGACGACTGAGGTGTGTCCAATGCCTGGCACAGATTTCTGAGTCCTGGTGGGTAAATGATAAGGTGTAGGACAGGCCAAAGCCAACACCTCCATGGTCAGGAAGTGGATCAAAATACACAATGACACATAGGAGTTGATTACAGATAGAGTGTAATGCACTGACAATGCTCTGCAGATGGAGATTTTTCCAATCAGCACCAATTGCCAACCTATAAGAGCAAACAAAATTCAAAATACATTACTGAGAAAATTTTATTTTTAGTGTGACAGTCCTAAATTAAATTCGCAGTTGCTAGCTGTTCAGGATGTACTGTATGCATCTGTGCTATCACACTGAGCTGTGTGGTACTCTATCTCAGCATGATAATTCAATCCACATTTCCTGAAGGTGCCTTGCCCTGAGCTAAAAAGGAAGAAGGAATTCTGTCTTGCCACACAAGCATTGTCATAATAATTTCATGGCACATTGCTCCATGATGTGGTAACCTGGTGGTTTTGTGGTTTGAAATAAATCAAAGTCAGCAGGGTTGGTAAAATGACTCCCAGTACTCTCTATTTTTGATATTAGCTAGATTAGACCATAACCATAATCCGGATATCATAATCCTAATAGGATGTCCCTATCCTACTGTTTACATAGGCTACAACGTTTAAATGAATTAAAACAATAAAAAGTGTTCTCCTGGCATTTTTATTTGGACTTTAAAGTTTGTCTCATCAAACACCACCCCCCCAATTGGGCAGTAGGACTCTTATGATCACCTAGTAGGCTAGCGGTTATGACATAAGTTAAACTGACACGGCAGACTGGACTTGGTTTGACACAGGTAACACCGGAATCGACGACGAAGCTTTTAACTTACAATACAATATCTAAAATAGCTCTTAAGGACATACAAATCATTCTCTACTGTATTTCGCATCGCAATCTCTTATCAATAGCATACATGTCCGATGCTGATTTATCTTAATGTAATTGTGGTGTTAATTGTGCTGATTTTTAAACATAACAGGCATTTCAAGCGGTGTGATTGCATTATATCGCCCCGAATAACCTATTGCACAAACCTGATAAGGTGTCCCGTACGTGTGTCCGCGGTGTCCGGACAGCTGCAGCCTCAAACTTTGGGATGTGCTCGTCTCTTCTCCTTCTCGTGATAGTCCTCCTCCTCCTCCGCTGCTACTGCTGCTGAGTGTCGCTTTGCTGGGAGACACGAGGGGAGGCAGGCAGAGGCTCTTAAAGCTCCCCACCCACTCCGGCCTCCCCCAGGGCGCATAGCCAATCACAAAGGTTGCCTTTACACAACAATACATAAAGAAATCATAGTCTAATCATCGCCTATAGTCAACAAACTGTCATCTGCACTTGGCCGCGTGTGCCCTGATGGGAAACAACTATGGAAACACTTTGGTAAATTTTGCAGGATCTTAAACAATTGTTACCACGGTTTAGAACCACGCTCGGTTAGGTTAATAAAAAACAAACAATTTGAAAGACTAAAAGTGGGCTACTTCTCATCCTCTGGGGTCTTTCTCCCTTCTTTATTCCACTCTATCGTCATTCCTCTCCACAATTCATTCCTCCCTCCGTTTCTTAAATTGCTCTATTCTCCCAGCATGCTCCATTCTCTTCCTCATCCGTGTCCATGTGAGGGAACCAGCGGCATCTGTGCAATTTTTGCCGTCTGCTTCCATCCCTCCATCCCACAGCCACGTGCCACTGGTGCTGGTCGCCTCACCTGTGTGTCTCTGGTAGAGAGGGCAAGGGCTCAAGTGTCTTTGAAGGTGGGAATTGGGAGCATGAAAGCAGACAGGTCCTACGTGTGGAGAGGCCTTAATTAGATTCATTGCTGTAGTTCCTTTGGTCCTAGAGACTCACCTCCACAGTACTTAGGTAATTGATGAGGGAGTTTTGCCAACCTGCTTCCTGTAACTATTTTTTTGCCAAGAAACTTATTTGATGCTCCAATTGGAAATATTTGTAGAGCAAATACTTACTAACTTACCTAACTATTACCAAACCACTGCACGCACTGTGGTTCATCTGCAACTGACACAAGAATCTGAATATGTAAACGATAAAAGCAAACCAACCCAAGCTGAGTTTGATGACTTTTTGTATTCTCCAACGTACATTTCCTCTCTATAATCTCAGTGTAGGACGAACATGTTAGTGAATGTCAGATATTCCCCGCTGGTTCATCTGATGATGGTTAGAGTGTGTGGTGCAGTGATGGTGAGTGCTCAAACCTTTGACAGCGGGACGCACGTCTATTATCACTGTGCTAATTCTAATTAAAGCAATTTTCTCTTGGAACAAAATGGCTGCTGCACATTAGGGGCTGAAAATGTCCAAGCATTTTAAACTGCATACAAGTGTGTATTCGTTCATCCCCTGTGGAGTGTCTGTGTGGGTGTGTGCAAGTACATTACGGATGTGGAGTGTGTCACTTTCCCAAGTGTGTTTCTTCAAATGTGTGTATATGTGGCGTGTAGGAGGCTGTGAATGGAGCTAGAAAGCCCATACCTGCCGTGTTGACTAAAATCTCCCGGCATGTTAACCTGAAAGGGATATGTATATGAATAATGCTCCTGTATGCAAGTTAAAAATTCATCTTTTCTGGTTGTGTGTGTGTGTTGTCTGGGTCTGTGTGTGGGTGGAGGGGCAGGTGGCCATGACTAATCAATAAGCCTGATAATGAGATCTGAGGGGTGTCATTATGGTGGCCCCTCCGGCGTAGAACGCCTCCTCTTCCGTAAAGAGCATTGTTGTCTCCTCTCCTCCGAGCGAACCAGCACCTCATTAACCTTTTGAGCCAACACAACATCAGGCAGACGCCATTTACTTTTCCCCAACATGTTCGGGTTGTTTGCTCTCATGATTGAGCATATAAACCTTTTTTCTCTCTTTGAACATAGACAGTAATTTCTCAAATGGTCTGTGGTGTGTTTTAGCAGCAATTTGGAGGTTTTTCATAAGGTTGAACGTTTCTTCAACTTTGCGCTGTATGAAATGCTACAGTGACGAATCAAACAAAAAGTCTGTGAGGAGGTTTCAGCAGCATCATTTACTTGCTGTATTCATCAGTTTGGAGTGTAAAATCCTTTTTAATACACCATCTGTTAATGCAACCAAATAAAGTGACTTCTGTCCTGCTGACTGACAAACCTTATGACATGACATGATCGGAAATTACTTTCTGAAAATATCCCACAATAACTCGAGCATTCCGACCCATCGTCTCATCAAAATAAACCTCACACAATCTCATAAAGCTTTTATTCACAGTAGAAACTCAATTAGGCATTACATCATATGTAGACACATTTTTACAGTGAGCAGCTGTAATGATAAAGTACAGTATCTCATAATAGTGAGTACACCTCTCACATTTTTGTAAATATTTAATTATATCTTTTCATGAAATGACACTTTGCGGCAATGTAAAGTAGTGAGTGTTTTTGCTGTCCCCTCAAAATAACACATCACACAGCCACAATGTCTAAACCGCTGGCAACAAAAGTGAATACACCCCTAAGTGAAAATATCCAAATTGGGCCCAATAAGCCATTTTTCCTCCCCGGTGTCATGTGACTCACTGTTACAAGGTCTCAGGTGTGAATGGGGAGCAGGTGTGTTAAATTTGGTGTTAATGCTCTCACACTCCCTCATACTCTGCACTGGATGTTCAACATGGCACCTCATGGCAAAGAGCTCTCTGAGGATCTGAAAAAAGAATTGTTGCTCTAGATAAAGATGGCCTAGGCTATAAGAAGATTGCCAAGACCCTGAAAATGAGCTGCAGCACGGTGGTCAAGACCATACAGCGGTTCAACAGGACAGGTTCCACTCAGAACAGGCCTCACCATTGTCGACAAAAGAAGTTGAGTGCGCGTGTTCAGCATCATTTCCAGAGATTGTCTTTGGGAAATAGACGTATGAGTGCTGCCAGCATTGCTGCAGAGGTTGAAGGGGTGGGGGTCAGCCTGTCAGTGCTCAGACCATACGCCGTACACTTCATCATATTGGTCTGCATGGCTGTCGTCCCAGAAGGAAGCCTCTTCTGAAGATGATGCACAAGAAAGCCCGCAAACATTTTGCTGAAGACAAACGGACTAAAGACATGGATTACTGGAACCATGTCCTGTGGTCTGATGAGACCAAGATCAACATATTTGGTTCAGATGGTGTCAAGCGTGTGTGGTGGCTACCAGGTAAGGAGTACAAAGACAAGTGTGTCTTGCCTACAGACAAGCATGGTGGTGGGACTGTCATGTTCTGGGGCTGCATGAGTGCTGCAGGCACTGGGGAGCTTCAGTTCATTGAGTGTGTGATGTGTTATTTTGAGGGGACAGCGAATTTACAATGTTATACAAGTTGCACACTCACTACTTTACATTGTAGCAAAGTGTCATTTCTTCAGTGTTGTCAAATGAAAAGATATAATCTAATATTTACAAAAAGGTCAGGGGTGAGGTGTACTCACTTTTGTGAGATGCTGTATGTTTGAGGACGGATTTTATGCCTAGCGTGACAGTGTTCTCCTCCTCCCTAAAGTCAGCTGTCCCTCATGGCAGTAATCCCTTCCATGTTGAACACCAGCACATGGATTATCACAATAATATGCAAAGAAAACTGTGGCCGCTGTTTTCAAAGTGAAAAAGTGAACAGGGTGTCTGAAAGTCATTAAAACCTCTGGGAATCAGAGCTGTTTTGTAGCCCGTGACCTTTAGAGCCATGTCATTTCCCTTGTGGTGTGTTAGTAAGTGTGTGTGTGTGTGTGCGCACTTTACTGTAGGGGTTTGTCTGATTGAGTGGTACAGAGGAACCTTGCTAAATTGAGCGTAGAGGGAGAGTCCGGAAACGAGAAGGACACAAGTTCGGTCCCCTGAAAGAGACACTGTGATTGCAACAGCAGCCATGTGTGCTACTAAAGTGCCGTTGAGCAAGATGCTTAGCCGCTTTATGCCCACCCATCTTGAGCTGTTGAATGAGAGCATCCACTAAATGCACAAATGTAAATGAAATTAAACACAGATGCTTTACTGGCTGAAACACAATGCTGGATAAGCACATTTTCACAGCATGCACGGGCACGTTCTCTGAACAAGCAAAGGATTAGACGTCTAATTACATGTAGCCACCAACATGGAATTTCAAACTATTTTACACAGCAAATTTCATAATTTACAGAAAATTCCATTTCCTGTGCTCATTTTGTTTAACCCATCAAGAATCAGCATTTGGAGAAATGACTGTCTGAATGTGTGTGTATACATGTGTCTTTGTGTGTCCTCTGCTGTTGGGGCTACTGAGGGCAGAGGCTACATTTCCCCAGCGGTTTCGCACAGCCTGCAGGGGAGGTGATTATTCCCCCTCAGTCGTGGTTATGGAGAAACATTCATCATGCAGTTACACCCTGGATCGTCCCAGTGCCACCATCGTGCAAGATCACACACCCTCCCCGTTCCTGACACACACATACATACAACTTCACCTATCAGTTCCCAACCAGCTCCTTCACGCTGATCCACACTTCACGGTCCATTTGATATTCTACTTCTTACTTTAAAGTGTCCAGCCAGTTAGCTCCACGTGTGTGTGTGTGTGTGTGTGTGTGTGTGTGTGTGTGTGTAGTGCAACGCCAACCTTGTGGCTCAGAATAACTAGGAAACTCGACTGTTGTAAACACACACAACACAGTAGTTTGATTGTACAGTTACTGAAGGAGGTGTCGCAAAAATTATTATTATTATAATGTTGTATATTACAATTTGTGTTTTTGATTTTGTGCACCACATAAAGCCCATTTCCTCCATTGTGTTTAAACGTAGAGATTTTACATTGTAGGGCTCTCAATGAACGGAGAGAGATATCGCCTTTTTTAGTACATGCTTTTTTCTTCCTTGTCAAAACCTAGTGCCTAGTGCTAAAGAAGCCCTGAGCCACTAGCCTCAAGCTGAGATGAGGAGCGGGCTACAGAGGTCTGGTAACATCACTTCTTTCTAACTTCACACCTCCAGATAGTCTTCAGTCTTCAACCCCAACCGACACTGACCCAAGTGACATCAGGATATTTACATAGCTATTGAGGATATTTATGAGATTTCACATAGCTCCCTCTGGAGCCAGAGAAGGCTTTATACAACTTTATTCACATATGCAGCAGTGCTCCCCAAGTCCTGTAAATAGACTTTGATGTGTACAATCTGTGGAGTT